TCATTCCCTGTTGGTGCTGTTACAGGAGGGGGCTACAAGCCAGGCTGGGGCAGGGTGCTCCCATTCCTCCTGTTGAAGCCAGGCCCGGGTGCCAAATGGCAGAATTGAAGCTTCAGGGAGCTACAGGGAAGAGGAGCATATGTGCTGGCGAGCTCCTGATGAGAGCACTCATCAGGAAAAGGGTTTCCAGAGCTTGTGCCAAGTACTGATCGTGTGTATCACCCAGGGCAGGATTGGAGGTTCACTCCTCTTTCTGGTGTTGCCTGGGCAGCACCTCCCTTGCTGTGATGAGCTCTCTGTATGAGAGTTCAAACTCCCCTGTGCATAAGACTGGGTGCCAAAATCAGGACTCGAACTCCAAGCAGCAACAGCAGCCACCACAGCTTTGAATGAGGGTGGCCCAGAGCTGCAGTCCTGTTGCTGGCCCAAACAAGGCTATACATGTGCTATGCCACCCTGTAGTGTTACACAGGGATGGCATCTGCCAAGTTTCTCCTAGAACTGGGGCTGCAGGGAGGGCATCTCCAGCTGCTTCTGGCCTCCTGGGTGGTGGAGGCTGATGCAACTGCAGATCAGGCTGCAGGTGTGGTGGAGCTGTTCACCTGGCAGTGAAATACCTGTGGTGAACAAGGTGGGAGGTCTCAGCCAAAAGCAGTGTTGGGAAGTAGGAGATGAAAGGAAGGGAAACCAGAATCCTGATCACCTTACCCAAAAGGTAAAGGCTCTGATACCCCTCTGCACCCCTTGGTCTGCCTGCATGCTGCAGCCCTCATCTTTGAAGCAAAGTCCTTAAAATCCGTGACTGCTTGTTGCCCAAGATCCTAGAAGTTCATCTCTTCTACATGATTGCTGGATGACACAAGAAACCTTCAACTTTGCACCCTGTTCTTCTAAAGTTTGTTGACCAGTTTCAGTCCTTTCTCTGCCCTGTGGCACTGCCCTTGCTGAGAGGAAGGCTTTTTTTTTTTTAAAGCACCTTGAATGGTAATTGCTGAGCTGGTGTTCCCTATTGCAACATCACACCAAGAGAATTGCTTCCATGTTCACCACCCACTGCTAAAGTGCAAGCTCAGGAGTCCACTTGTTCCTCTGCATACACCAGTACCATGGGGTCACAGTGCTGGCAGCAGACATTGTCCCAGCAAGTCACAGGTCATTTAGCTTGGACCGTAAGGATCTCAGAACAGTGACCTTGTACTTACCTCACTGCCACGGACACGTTAAGCATTGCAAAAAGAACAAATGGATTTTGTGTTTGGAGTTTCAATGTTCACATTGCTGGTCTGGCCCCTGTTCTGCAGAACCTTTCAGTCTCTGCTGTGACTGTTTCAGCACTCTGGGGACAAAGAACTTGGGCAGTTCATCAGTTGTCTTAAGCTGGAGTCTTCCCACAGGAGTTCCCCTTCAGCCAGGGACTCCCAAGCCACCTACAACAGCCCTGAAAGTGTTTGATTTACAGCCCAGCTCCTCTTTCACCCAGCCTTCCCTGGGCTCTCAGAAGAAGGCAGAAGCTCTTTTTCCTTCCTGAGACATTACTGACTTTAAAAGCTGTCAGATCTGTGCTGCAGCTGAGCTGTAGCACATCCCCTGCAGATTAGGCTATGCCTGACTCCCCAGGAAGAGCTGGATACCCCATGGCCTCAGGGATGAGGAGATTTAGATGATTCTCTGGCTTTGTTTGCAGCTTGGCAGGTGCCTGACTGAACTTAGACTGCATCCTGCTGTCACAGATGTAAGCAGCTCAGAGCTTTAGGGTAGACTTTTGGCTCTAGATAGTGTGCCTGGCTTCTCCCTGCTGCTAGCTTGTCCTTTCAATGTTCTCTCTCCAATTCAGGTCAAGCAATGAGCAGCTGAGGCTCTTGCTAATGGCTTCTCTGAGCAGAAGAACTCCCCGTTATTCCTTTGGTGAGCCCTGCGTGAGCCGTGTTCATCCGTGGCATAGCAGGAGCTGTGCAGAAGGCTGGCCAGTGGTGTGCCAGGAGGAAAGGGCAGGGCTGTGTGGGCACAGGGCTCGTGGCTGTACTCAGCTGCTGACGGCATCCCTGAGGTAGCAGAAAGCACCATGTACTTCTCTCCAGGTGCAGCACTTAACTATGGGTTGTACCTACCCCAAAAATAGATGAGGAGCTCCCTGTGGAGCTTTCATTAAAAGCTCTGTTGATTTCTTTGGGTTTCTGCCTGGCAGCTCTGGCAGCATGTAAGCTGGACCCTTCTGTAACCAGTCCAGAGCTTTTGTTCCTGCTCCCCATCCCCTTGCAGCTGTGTCAGGGTCCTGCTTAGAGATTTCATGTTTGGGCCCACTTTCCTCACTATTAAATGGCATTTCTTCTACTTCATGACAAGAATTGTAAACTTAAGACTGCAGAAACGGAAATGCATTAAATACAGTTCCCATGGGAAGACATTCATGCTTGTGAGCCCGAGCTGACATCTCAGTCTGAGGAACTCATGGCACTTTAAAAGGATGGAGATGGGGGTAGAGATGGGAAATACCTCCTACATCCAGTTCAAATTCCCAATTTACAACTTTCTTAGAACTGTTCAGAGACACCATTCCACTGGCTTAGGTGTACAAAACATGTTAAAGTATTTTTTGGTGTCTTTAAAAGTGCCCATTTTCCTAAAGACATGGATGTGAGGCTCCTGCTGTGGGGCCTTTCTTTTCTCTTTTACTCCTTCTCAGTATAGTTACTGAACTGTAAGGGCTTCCATCTTCCTGCCTTCCCCTCTAGCCAGGTCCATCACTTTCATGTCTTTCACCAGCTTTTATGATGGGTAATGCTGTAGTCCAGGCTACCAAAGGCTGAACATGCAAGTGTGCTGGGAAGCACCCCAAATCTGCTGCAAGATGTAAGCGCAAGATGACAAGTCTCTTCCATTTTTAAGTAAAAGTACAAATAAACTTACTTTAAAACCCCCGCGGGGCAAGAGCAATGCCACATTGAGGTTCTTCAGCTCAAGATTACCTTTGCAAAATGCATCCAGAGTCAGTAAGTTGAGACAACAATGAAACTCTGTCAGTGTTGCCTCTTGTGCAAGTAGCTGTGGTGCAAGTGCTGCTTTTACTGCCCGTGTTTGATGAGAAACCAAGCATCCAGGCACGCTACTGGCGCTCAGCGTGGAAAAGTGCAAACACAGCCTCCTTCCAGATACTCCCCATGTGCTGGGCAAGGGTGGCAACTCAGAGCAAAACACTTCCCCCTGAGGAAGCGTTGGCAGAGATCTGGGGGCGTGCACGGCCATGCCAAGGACTTGCTGCAGAGATGTGTAGGAACATCACAAACTCTGTGCAAACTCCTCCAGAGCTGCCCTGAAGCCTAGCCCTTACCCCTGTCTCCAGCTGTGACCCCATGTGGGGTGGGGGGACCTCCTTGCAGGAGATGCAGGGCTGGGGTGGGGATGGGGCTAACTGCTAGCAGGCTTTAGCAGGGTGGGCTGGGGGACAGCTGCTTATTTGCAGGACAGTGTGCTCAAGATGGCCAAAGGAGCAGGAGGTTCTGGGGCCTGGGGAGGATTGCAGGACCACGGGCTGTGCTGGGAGCTGCTGAGCAGGGGCAGTGTGAAGGAGCAGGGAGCCAAAGGCAGAAGGGAGGGTGAGGGGAATGAGTGTAGGGGCACGAAGGGGAGCTAGAGAGACCCCCTTCTCCACCCCCATCCCCAGGTCTAAGCCAGCAGAAGCATCTGGCCGCTCAGTGCTCACGACAACGTTGCTGCTTTTGAAGCACACGAAGCTGTGATCAGAGGCTCCTATTATTAACCTGAGGGAGTGAGTTGCCCCACTTGCTGCTCTGTGGGCAGGAGGCTCACAGCCCGGCTGCACCCCAAATAGGCACAGGGTACAGGGCCTTGCAGGGTGGATTCTCAGCTAGAGACAAATGCTGCTCATGAATTAAGGAGCAGGCAGCATTTGTCTAGCTGCTGTCCCTCCGTGGGACAAAGTACACTCTGTTGTTTCCTACAACACATGCAGAAGTTAATCTTAGCCCTGCTATTCTGGATGAAAGGCTCCTTTCTTCCCTTAGAAGATACCTGCATGATGTCTTAAACCAGAGCGTGTGCACGCTGCAGAGGTGAGCAGCCCCTGGTAATGAGCAAAACACGATGAGACTGTGGACACAACTCACCCTGTCTCTGCATCCTTCTTATTTTATCTCAGATTCAGGAACAGGCTCCTGTACAAACCACAAATTGCTGGCACTCTAACAAGGTTATCTGTAAGGCACTTAAGCGTTGAGAAGAGTCACGGTGGACATCTCAACACCATTTTTTCCCCTTTCCAGTGTGTTCCATGGGAAACAGCACCAGCCGGCTTTACAGCGCGCTCGCCAAGACGCTGAGCAGCAGCGCCGTGTCGCAGCACCAGGACTGCCTGGAGCAGCCCGACTCTGCACAGCTGGATCCTATAGACCCCAAGGATTTGCTGGAGGAATGTCAGATCGTGCTGCAGAAACGGCCACCCCGGTTTCAGAGGGACTTTGTGGACCTGAAGAAAAACGCTGCCAGTAACCACCGCCCCATTCGAGTCATGCAGTGGAACATCCTTGCCCAAGGTAGGAGCTGCCTCTAAGCTCAAGGTGTGGCCTTGAGATCAAATGCAGCAATTAAAGCCTTTAAATGCAGATGTGTCTACGTAGTTAGGCATGCCCAGGACTGGCAGAGCAAAGGGAGAGAGGTGAATTATGTGAGGCACAACTGACTGAGGGCTGGGGTGGGGAAGATTTTCAGCACTTGACCTAGTGGCTTGCCTTCTATTCTATAGGAAAGGAAAAAAAGGTCTCTCTCTGCAGCTGTGGTGCCAAAGGTAGCTCTGAATGCCTGTATATTAAAAAACACTGTGACCCATCACATTTAGGTTGTTAACACCCAGAAAAGACTCATCCTTCCGTAAGTTTTATTCTTTGTAAAGCTTCTCTACAGTTTTCTAGTTAGTTTGTTGGTGAACCTTTCAGGGATTCAGATCTGTCAGGGGAATTCTTAATTCTTCAAAATAATTTTAACTGATTTTTTTTTCTCAGACCCCTAAATTGAAGGCTGTAAATTGACTTATGCAACAGCCTCATCTTAAAACCTTCTGGGCTGGGAAATCCCCCATGTAAGGGTTGTCTTAACATTCTGCAGTTCACTCTGCATTTTTTCTTAGGCTTAAGCTGTGGCAGCACTTGCCACAGTGTAGAGACTTTTGGGAAGAGGGGGAGGAAGTCTTTAATTGTATCTGTAAAGAGAACTTAATTTCTGGGGGGGGACTTTAGTGTTTTGAGAAGGGGTTCTCACACAGAGAAAGCCAAGTGTTGCAAAAGCCTCCTGCCGCTTCCCAGTATAACCAGCCTCTTGCACTGTGACAGGCTGCCTGCTCTCTTGTGCAGCCCCCGGCTCTGCAAGGTGGCAGCTGGCTCTCGAGAGCAGAACCTTGCCCCTGAGCTCTGCCAAACCTGCAGGAAGACAGCCTGGTTTAGCTATTGGTAACCTTCTCCCCCCTCTCTCTCCCCCTCCCCGCTAATTTCAGCTCTGGGAGAAGGCAAAGACAACTTTGTTCAGTGCCCCATGGAAGCTCTGAAATGGGAAGAGAGGAAGTGCCTCATCCTGGAGGAAATCCTTGCGTACAAGCCCGACATCTTGTGCCTGCAAGAAGTTGACCACTACTTTGACACCTTCGAGCCACTCCTCAGCCGACTGGGCTACCAGTGTACTTTCTTCCCGAAGCCGTGGTCCCCGTGCCTAGACGTGGAGCGGAACAACGGGCCAGATGGCTGCGCCTTGTTTTTCCTCAAAGACCGCTTCGAGCTCATCAACAGCGCTAACATCCGGCTAACCGCCATGAAGCTGAAGACCAACCAAGTGGCCATAGCTCAGACGCTGAAGTGCAACGAAACTGGAAGACTGTTCTGCATTGCCGTCACTCACCTAAAAGCCCGGACCGGCTGGGAGAGGTTCCGGTCCGCGCAAGGCTGTGATCTTCTCCAGAACCTCAATAGCATTACCCAAGGTGCAAAGATCCCTCTGATCGTCTGCGGAGACTTCAACGCAGAGCCAACTGAGGAGGTCTACAGAGAATTTTCCAACTCCAGCCTCAACTTAAACAGCGCGTACAAGCTGCTGAGCCCCGACGGGCAGTCAGAACCCCCGTACACCACCTGGAAGATCCGTCCCTCAGGAGAGTGCCGGCACACACTGGATTATATCTGGTATTCCCAGCATGCCTTGAATGTGAACTCAGCCCTGGGCTTGCTGACTGAAGAGCAAATTGGGCCCAACAGGCTGCCATCATTCAATTACCCTTCCGATCACCTGTCTCTGGTGTGTGACTTTAGTTTTAATCAAGACCCCGACAGACTGCTGTGAGGTGTTGGAATGCCACCTGGTATTGCAGTGTCTTAACTCACCCCTATTTTATTTTAGAGAAAACTTTTGAAGCTGGAAGCTATTGCAGGATGAGGAAATAGTGTTGACTAAAGATTATTTTGAGCACTTGTTTGGAATTACACTTGCCATTCAGCGCTTGTTAATCTGGGGCCTCCAAGGGAGGAAGAAAGGAGTCGGTGTTCTTGTGGTGGTATTCTTGCCACGTTGAGCTTTGAAAACCAGAAGGCAAATGAGCTTTATCCTTTCACTAACCCCTGTGTTTAAGGATTTAATCCTCTAATGAATGTGGAGGCCTTAGTATTTAAATCAAAACACTTGTGCTTGTAAAACAACCTGCCCTGACAGCATGCTAATTTTATTTATTTCATGTTAAGCTTGTGCAAGTACCAAAGGGAATGAGGCTCCACCACTCAGCGAGATTCTCTTAAATCTTTTTCCGTTGCAATACGAAGGAAGTTTAATGCGGTTTAGACATGAACAAATCCAAGCTCATCCTACATTTTTCCATGACTTGAGATCACAATTTCATTAAGAGTGAATGGATAATAGTGCAGCGTGAGGAAGGCTCCCTCCAGTAGGAGCAGGTGAGGAAACAGAGGGTAACTACGTCATATAGTAACATCCTCACTTCTCCATTTGAATGCGCGTGTGTTGGTTACACACGCACGGCCCATAGCTCTGTATACTCAGTGACTCTTACCTTTGTCTCTTCTGTGCTTCCTTCCAGAGGACACACCTAACCAGGGAGTATTTCCTCCTCTGCTTCAAGTATTACTTTTCTAAATGGTTTAAATTTGTAGTCTCGTCAATCTTGCTGTTTCAGTCAAGGGCCAGTCTTCATGTTGAAAGACTTTCTTTTATTTATCTTCAGAATCTAAAGCTACACTGGAACCTGTTAGAAGATAAAATTTATTTATTGACAGAAGCTGATGATTCTGCATCATGACTTTAAATCATACAGCAGCAGTGCTCAGGAGCCTCTTTCCATGGCCCACAGCAACTCTAGCACCCAGGCTACAACAGCACTGTGTTAGTGTAGTGACTCTTGTGCGTGGAGTGGTGGCAATTGGTATGACACACAGGTATTGCTTATAGGGATTGTAAATATGCTGCTATGTCAGAAAATGAGGTAGGGAGAGAAGAGAGACAACAGCTGGAGTTGGGCTGACATTTAGATAGTTGGGAAAGACAAAGCAGATCAAATAAAGCAGTACTTCCATGTAAAGTAAGGCCCATAGTAACTCTTAAATGTTCCAGATGTTTATTAATAAAAGTCTTTGGAAAAAAAAAAAAGAAGTTATGTCACTGCTTCCACCTTTTTCCTTTCCCTTTCATAAGTAGGTGATCTGTCTCAATTAGTGACTGTTCAAGCTTCATCTTAGTGGTGATGCCACCCATTCCAGACCTCTTTCCCCTGACCCCGCACTCCTGATCTTACATGTTGGCACGGCTGCTTTGCTTTCACGACAAGTACTCTTCTCAGACTTGCAATGCCCAAATTCCACAGCAGGTCTGTAGAGAAGGGAGTTACCTTTAGCAATGTTAAGCTGCTCTCTCCCCTCGCTAAAGATGAAGCCTAGACTCTCTCTTACTGTAAATATTTTTCCTTCTAACAGCGATGTGGAGCTACAGACCTGACCAGTACTGCAAAGTAGGGTGCAAGTATTCCTCCCTGAGGGCTGCTTAGCACACCTAGCAGAGCTGGCTTCTCACAACAGGCAGCTGCCTTCCGCACTTGCTTTTAAAACATCATTTGAAGCGAGAAGTGCCACAGGTATGAGCTTTACACAGGCCACAGATGATGCTACTTGTGTTGCTGGTAAGTGAAATAGAGAGTCTGGTGACTGGCAGTCCCCAGTTCCCACATGAACACATTCCCCTTTCAGGCTGTAACACGCTCTGCATGTGTTCCTGACCCTGGCAGGATGAGGGCAATGATCTGCTTCCAAGCAGAGGAACCAAGGCAACTCTAACAGGGGTGACGGAGCACTGGGACAGGCTGCCCAGAGAGGTTGTGGAGTCTCCATCTCTGGAGATGTTTAAAACCCCCCTGGACGCTTTCCTGTGCAACCTGCTCCAGATGAACCTGCTTTGGCAGGGGGGTTGGACTAGATGATCTCCTGAGGTCCCTTCCAACCCCCACCATTCTGTGATTCTGTGTGATTTAACCAGCCTGGGATGCAGGACTCCTCTAGCAAGCGTGGATTTGAAATTCCTCAGACAGAAAGGATTTTACAACCAAGGAGCCCGACTTCCTTGGTGAATACTCTTACCAGGCAGATGTGACATATCAACTACAGCCAGCCAGGGCCTCCTTCAGCTGAAATCTCAAAAACAGCAAATCTTTCTTGTGTCCCTGGAAGCCAAAAGGGGTGGCTCCTTCCTTTCCATGGTGCTGGCTGCCCTCAATTGCTCTCTGAGGGGGTGAAATGCAGTGATTCTCTTTCAGTGTTGTCTTCTCTTAGGATCTTCCCTCAAATAGTCTTTGCAAGGAGGAGAAAGAATATAATTGCCTATTAATGGAGGTATCTAGTCACCTATAGCTCAACCCTTCTAAAAGCAACACCACAATGCAGACCTGTAAGATAGCATCTTTAGGAAGTCAACTCCTTGCTCATCTACCACAAAAAGTCACATGAGAAGCGGGAGATTCCATTCAGAGCCTTTTGTCAGTTTCTAGAAGAAACTACAGGTGGGAGAAAGCTGTGGGAGAAAGCTGTGACTTGAGAGCAAGGATAATACTGTACTTGGAGCTGTATTTCAATAATTAAAAAAACAAAACAAAACGAACCCAAAACCAACAACCAAAAAACCCACCACCACCAAAAAGCCTTTAATTTCCATTTCACTCTTGCATAAGCAGCTCCATTTTCCTAAGGCCAGCCGAGGGTGTCCCTCTGTGTCACCTCTGCCAGGGCACAGAGCCGTAGCACTGATTATAGTCAGCTTTGTTTACCAGCAGGAGCTAAACTATCACAGCTCCAGAACTCCACCATCACTCCCACAGGGTGAGGATATTTGGTATCTGGACAATTCTTACACCATTTTACTCAGACCCTTGTTTTCGGTGCTAACTCTCCTACAAAATAAACCAAACTGCAGGGAAACAGTCTGATTTGTATGATATTGCCATCACTGTAAGAGCTCTTCTGAAGTGGAAAGAGTTGGGTTCTTATTTCACCCTGGACACGTGACAGTAGCTGTTCACTGCTTCATGTCCTTAAAGGGCAATTCTGAAGGCGAGGGGAGGGTGGAGGAACAGTGAAAAGGCTGGGGACTCTCCTCATCATAAGGCAATTCTTAATATTATCATAGGAAATCACATATTGCTGCTCCAGAAAAACTGTGAACCCTTTCTGCTGTGTTTTAATAAAAGGCCAAGATGCAGAAAGTAACTCTTGCCTTCCTAGTCAGCTTCAGCTATTTATTGCAGTACTTGCTGTAAAGTATATTTTGCAGACAGAGTCTTGGAAAACTTAAGGGAAACATTGTTCTTGCTTTGTTTTATTCAGCAAGAGGCAGCTTGCAGCACTGAAATGCTTTTGCCTGCTATAAATACCAGTACAGTAAATATTTTTCAAGAAAGAAGCAGGAAGGTTTTTGATTTTATTTTTCCTATGTAGTACTATGATTCGTGCAGTAAAAATGTCTTCAAAGCTCCTCTTGTGGCTGCCTACCTTATAAGCACACCAAGGTTAAAAGAGGTCTCAACAGATCCCTTGCTCTAATCTTGAATAAAACCTGCATTAGCTTTAGCAGCGAGAGTTTTCCCTCACCCTCAAGCTCGCTGAAGGAAGAAATGACCCACTTCCTTAATTTGCTGAAAGGCAGAAGCTGTTGCAAGCTTATTAAAACACTCTCTCTCGGAGAACAATTAGATCAGAAGTAGATAGTGTCACTTGGATCTTCTTCACTTAATAAGCTTAATACCTGCTCTGTGAACTGTCTCTACGAGGCAGAATTGAATTTAGCTTGCTCTGGCTGTGGCAATCTTCATGCGTAAACAGCTCCCTGTCGCACATGGCACGGTGAGTAAGAACTGAGGCTTCAGGAACCTCCCCCACTTTCTCACCAGCTCTTGACCACCTCTGTCTCACTGATCTTTGATGTAATTCTGCAAAGCCCTGAAGTTGATGAAATCAGTTAGCAGAGGATCACAAGAGCTCTCAGCTTTCCTTGCAGCACACTTTACCCCCCATCACTTGAGTTGTGTCAAAGCACAGAACACTTCAATGCTAAGCAAGACCGACTTTGTCCAAGACAAAGTGACAAAACCAGTGGTCTCTGGGATGGGATTCCCCTTTCAACTTTTCTTGCCACAACCCAGAAAATTTGGTATTCAGATCTTTATTCTGAGTTGCAACTCACAGTTAGCTTTTTTCCCCTCTTGATTACACAGCACTACCCTGTCCCTCCTACAACTTACAGTAACAGTTATTTGAAAAATAAAAGTGTTTGTATTTATATACGTAAAATCAGTGATACCACTGCTGTGTATGTCTCAATGCCTTCTGTAAAAAGTGCGCTCACTTCACACTAGAGCTTCATTCCACTCACACATCTAGTTACTACTTGCCAAGGATGAGTTAAGTCTGGACTCTTCCACGTGAGGCACCAGCTTCAGCTGTAAAAGCCAGTCCCACTTTCACACAGGGACAAAATAACAGGTTTTTCAATGGGATTGTACAAGTCTAGCTAGATACCAACTTCTTCAAAGTTTTAGTGTCCCTTTGTCCTTTTCAGATGTTACAAGCCTTACCAAAGCTCCCTCACCCTGAGGTCATGTCCTCCAACACCACCAGTAAAAACATTCATTACCTACATAGTAATAATTATGTGGGAATAAAGCAGCATGTTGAAGAGCAAGGTTGCACAGACCTAGAGAACGATCCAAGCCTTTCAGTCACAGGTATGAACCTGGCCCCTCTGACATCTGGCTGGAGAAATTGTCAGGGAGAGGCTGCCTCTTGTAAGAAACATGGCTTGTTACCTAGATTGCACACCACTTACAAAGAAAAACCGGATCTCAGAACAACTGAGAGGAACCACAGACACCCAAAGCCATGCTGAAACACTGAACCAGGCACCAGAGTGTGACAACACACCAGTCTGTACTTACAGCCTGCATCTGAATCGGAAATAAAAGTGGTAAGTACAAAGGCATACAAGGAAAGTTCAACAAAAAGGGGCTTCACTCTTTGAAGCTGGGTTTTAAGTACCCTTTCCATTTCAGTTACAGTGCATGCTCATACAGACCGAGATTCTCACAGCACGTAAACAGCTTCTGCTAAAAGTCCCCTGGCAGCGCGTGTGCCGCTCGCTGGGTGGCCAGGGGAGAGAGCCAAAGCACCATCCCCAGTTCTGTGGCAGGGTGCAGCACCCACAGCAACAGCAGCGTCTCCCAGCATGGCTGCCAGCTGCCTGTCCCACCAGCAGTGGAGATGTGCACCTCCATTCCTTTCATTGCTGCCATGACATGATGAAGTCCTGGCTCTAACTTAAGAGGAGCAGGTCATCAGCTGGAGATCCTTATCTATTTCCAGGAAGAGAGTCTGTCCCCATTTGACTCCCAGTGCACCTAAATTAGGTGTCAGAAAGGTCTTAACTACAAATACTGCAGAGATACACATTTCATGCTCTGAGATACAGCATCTCTCTTTCATATACAATCAGAAACAGCCATTTAGAAAGGAGTTTCTTACAGAAAAGACATGGGTTTAAAAATGCTATTCCTTCCCCCTCTTCTTGCCTTCCAGCTCCAATTTGTTCTACCCACCTCTCTTGACACTGCTCTGTTTCCCTTGACCCAGAACATTAGTGCCTCTCAGACTGCCCAGCTTCCCTCTACTTCCCTTTCCATCCTACCTCTTTCTTGGCAACAGAAATCCTTTTCCTTCTCATACATTGTCTCCTGTGAAGGAGTCTTTGTCCTCTACCCCAGCCCAGAAACACAGCTCACCTGTAAGAACCTTTGCTCCTTTGGGTTAACTGCTGGTGGAAGGGATTCCTGCCTTCTACACCACTTTTTTTTACCTGCTTCAGCGTATGAAAAATAATCCCTTTTTCAGAGAACTTTCAAAGTTCCCCACATGCTGGCCTGGCTGTATGGAATTATTCCCTCATTTCTTACCAGATGAAGGGAAGAATGGGGCTTACTGCTAGGACTAGAGGTAACTCATTTTTCAGTATTAAAAGGAACAAATACATTTCCAGTAAGTATTTCATTCTGGTCTCCTTTATCATTACTGAAGACCTCAGTTCCAGATTTCTGTTAAAATTGCTCCTGCAGGTACAAAGCGCTTAGATGATCATTTAAGACTTAAATTATTTCAAGATTACCCAAGTTCTTGCTCTGAAGACTTTCCAGGGCATCTCATTAGGAACAGGGGGTGCCACTGGGTACCTGCCTACCCACAAGCTGATGTGTTGGTTCTCCAGTAAGTGTTGCAGTGCCAGTGTGGTCCCCATGAAAACAGGGCAAGCTACCCTGCATCTATTTTAAGCCAGACTCTTACCCCTGGACTGGAACTGTGGAGTAATTTGTGTACTGTCTGTTCTCACTCCAGCTTTACCCTGTAGTAATGTATCACGATACCCATAACTTCAGTGAAATTATAAATAGAAAACCTATTTAGATACTTACTTTGTTCAGAAAGAAAACATCTACCTGAAGTCATGTATTTGTGCTGAAGCCAACTATTAACAGTTGGAAATGTCAATGGCAACAACATCAAAAGGACTAAGCAGTAGAACTTAGTATTTTTTTGCAGTTTCTACCTACCTGTGATTTCAGCTTGCCCCGTGAGATCATCAGAGAGATGAGTACACTGAAGCAGCTGCATCTGCTCAGTTCTACCTTCCTTTGCAGTGCAGCCTGAGGAAATTATGGTGTAGCTGGAGGAATAGTTAGTTCACAGAGCTTTGGGAGTTATTGATTCTCAGAGTCAGTTAAGCAGACCCCGTCTTCTTTGCATTAAAACAACTGGGAGGGCACACAAAGTTATCACCTGTCAGCTGGAAGGCAGTAACTTCTTAAGCTACCCAATTACTCCACAAGCACTCGTGTGATTAGCCACAATGCAAGAACACCGCGTACACCCACCGTCCTGAAAGCGTAAGTGAACTAAGACCCCTGTCAGAAGTTACCTCACCAACCACCACAAGCTTCACAGATATTTCAATGAAAAATATTTCAGTGTACTGTGTGAGAGAGTTGGTCAAACATTTGGAGTACCGGAGTAGTGAGGAGTTCCAAACTTCCACACTCTATCAGCTATCTTAGGCTGAATGCCTGGAAGATTTCAAATAAGCAGAAAAGAAGGTTAACAGATTGCAATGAAAAAGGAAAAAAATAAAAAGCAGAGACCAAACACCAATAAATTTCCTTTCTATATTTCAGTAAAACCTACTTGAATACACTTTGAAACAAGAGTACAACAAAATAGAATATACTTCAAATGTTGAATATACAAACTATTATAGTTCATTCTGAACACTGGTACTTCCCTCTTAACTTCAACTAAAAAAAAAAAAAAAAGTACAGGTTTAGAACTACCTGACAAAAGCTCATGCTGGGTGTGACCTTTCCGGTGACAGAGTAGAGCTGAAACTGAAATGTATGCGCGGATGTCAAGGCTAAGTGAGAGACACAGGCATGTTGCAGCAGAAGGCCTGCTGCTATTTTGTCCACAATTAAGAAATTTAGACACTTTTAACTACCATACAAAATATGTTACATGTAATTCTATAACAATACTGTGCTAGGTACAAGATTTTTAAAAAATTTGTTTTAATAAAAAAGCTTTACACAAACAAGCCATTAGCTTATTTCAAGAAAGATAACTGAAAATCAGTCTAAGGCTTTCATTTTGAATCTGCTTAAGCTGTATGATACAAAAATCCCTCTAGGTCTCTGTCTTCTTTTAGAAGCTCTTTAATCTTCTCCTTTATTTCACATTCTACAATGCCTAGTAGCAGAGTTTTTCACATAGCACCAGTTGAGTACTGTGGACACACAGTAGTAATTGCTGGTATGCATATAAAATGCATCAAATTTGCCATTTGTAACAATGAGACTTTCCTTTCCCCCTGAAAACTAAAAACCAAGGCAAACCTCTGACACAACTCTCCTTTAGTGTTCCAGGTCTTAGTGTAACTTGGTAACGTAGTGAACTGTTTGGTCCCTTTTCAGTCCCTCTATCTTTCCTTCTCCATAGCTTCAGCTGTTTCCCAACTGGAAGAGGCAGTTTTTGTCAGCGTTTATCAATGTGGTTCAATTCCCACTGAAACACGGGAAAATAAATTTTTTCCAGTAAGTCTTCAACATACGCATGTTTATTAACATTTCAAAGCTCTCCTTTTCGACTTGGTGATTGCATCCACTTCCCTCCCCCACTTATGTCAGTATATTCCAAACCGTAACAGTCTAGAAGTCCATGCTGGAAGCACCCCATTCATTCTTCATTTCTCACACGTTAGGATTCCTTCTGTTTTCACTGTTACAGGAAGAGCTATAGCTGAGGGCGTGCTAACTACTACTACGTGGGTCACAGTCTTGCTTCCATCTGCCGGCTTCTCTTCTTTTACCAGCTGCACTGTTTTCACTTCACGTTCCTGTTTTAAAGCCGCTGTGTCCGATTTAACTTCTGGACTTTTGATAACTGCACTAATCACCCTGGGAGGAGTCTGGCCAGACGCCTGCTGAGCAGGCACCGATAGTCTCATTACTGGTGTCCCAGGAGCTATAGACACTGGGGTTAGTGCTCGAACAGCCAACGGGGTTCCCACGATGTTAATACCTCCCGACCCAGAGAGGCCTGTTTTTGTTTGTAACTGACACTGCGTAAGCTGGGTGGCAGGGATCGTAATGATTTTGGCAGGCTGCATTGTGATTTTGTCTCCGTTTTCAGGGGAGGTTGGCATCACAGTAGGGATTGTCTGGATTACTACCTTTGGAGTTGTTGCTGTGGTTGGACTTGTGTTGGTTATTAACGGTGACCCTGCATTTACTGACTGCACTGCCACAGTTGAGATTTTCTGTCCCAGAGAGGTCATTACAACAGGCACTTGCATCGCCACACGTACAGTCCTGCAAAATAAAGATAGGCATGGGTGTTTAAACAAAAACACAGGGCACCAGTAGAGATGACAATAGGGGCAGGCAAATCTAGGATTTAGATTTTTAATTGGTTCTTTAAAAAAAAAAAAAAAAACAAACACAAAAAACCCCAAACCAAACCTTTTGCACATCTAGCAATAGGACTTGGGAAATTTAGCAGAATTCACATCTCTCTTTCCCCTCCCTCTCTCTACATCATTTTAAGATACATGCCAGAGCGAGAAAATTGACAGTTGGCTCTGATCTCAGAAACCAGACTTCCATAGTGTTCTATCACATTGCACCGCTGCTTGCAAATCAGAAACCATTTCCAACATTTAAAACATGAACCAAAAAACTGCTTGTCATTAGCAAATGACAAGCCCAAGCGACGTTAATACAAACCTGGGAGCTGTGGTTGCTGGGACAGTAGTAGTGGTAGTTGAGGGACGAGATGATGATGTATCATGTGCTGGTGAGGCAATATTCACAACTCTGGTGACTGCTTTTTCTGTTCTGGTACAGCTTAACTGAGAGGAATTTTTTCCACCACGTGCAGAGGTTGCTGCTTTCAAAAGATTTTCTGCAGATAAAGTTTTTTTTTCCAATGACTTTTCATCTGCAGGCATTGACAAATCTTCATTGCAGGACTCACTTTTGTCATCATCTATGACAACTATATTTTTTGGCATCTCCTTAAACTGATATACAAGCCTCTGTCCCTCAACTTTTGCAAGGATTCCTCTTTGATAGTAGTATCTGCAAGGAAAGTACAATTAAGTAGTAACCAGCATACTGACAGATTTTACAGAAAACCTCATTCTATACTAACAAGAAAATCTGAAGTTAACCCCAGTAAAACCTACAATGTGACAAGGTATGCAAAGAAGCTGGCAGAGCGCGCTGGCAAAGCATCTGAAGGATCTAGCTGAAAAAAACACCTCAGCTTTTAAATACAGGCTTCAGGAATTAAATTGCAAATTAACTTGTAACATAAAAAACAACAGGAACTGCAAGACTGATGCTATTTAAACAGCTAAGTCAGCAGGAGGGCAAAGCTTTTAAGATTTCAGAACTGTTGTATTGCTCTAGGCAAAATTAAGAATAATTTTTTAAAGGATATATGAGATTTTACCTCAGAGCTCTTCCCATAGTCTCATAGTTCATGTCAGGTTTGTTTTTGTGTTTTCCCCATAGTCTGGAGACAGCTTTCGAGTCCACAAGTTTAAAGATTCCCTTCTCCCGCTGCGTCCATTTAATATATCGAGGACAAGTATTTTTGTCCTGGAGAAGGTCCAGAAGAAACTCCCATAAGTACGTTGTATTTCCTATAATCACAAAGCATTTAAATATTAGAAACCCACTTTTAATGGTAACACAAAGTTCTCCATAGACAGGTAACTCTGAATGACCTGCATTATGAGCAAACGTTACACAGGGGATGGTATGTAATGTAACCTGCACATATTCACTCATTCTGTTAAGTTTAGTAAAGCTTCCATAAATATTTACATTCTGCAAGGAGATAATCCAAGTGATCTGCTATATAGCACAGGAGGCTGTTCAATCCAGTGCCCATTCTCAGCTCTTGAAAAGAAGCGTGGGAGGGTGTTCCAAGTCACTCCAACCTACATCTGTTCAGCAGAGGCAGGATGAGAGCTCAGAATTTTCTTCTCAGACTTCCTTAATCAAGGAATGGAAATGCCAATGCATTTTATGACACTGAAGGACAGGAGGATATAAATAAGTAATTTTTTAAAGGCATACAACTTTCAATAACAAACCATCTCAACCATGGTAAGTTTGTAAGATAACCTCCTGTCCAGGATCTTGGGCTCTCACACTGACTGGTGACGGCCCCTACCGTGTTCTGACCCTTCCCACATACACGTTGCAGAGTGACCAACGTCCTCCCACGTGCATGGGCCAAATAGAAATATATTATTTTTTTGTGTGTGTGAAAAAAGGTCATTAATTCCAGAAATTTAGTGGTCCAGCACAGCACTTGTTATGCCATACTGAAGACAAATAAAATACATTAAGGCAGGTTAAAGAACACTGTTGCAGACTCCAAACAGCTACCTATCCTTGAAAAACCTCCAAGGGTAAAAGAATTATGGTTTCCATCTTCTAGAAGACGACCTCATAGACAGAGAGTAAGTGTGTTTTACCATGTGCTCCAATAAACAGCAAATACTGATTCAAGAGCTACCAAAATCCAGCTTCCACTGGATTTCAGAGACATGAGAATAGGACCTGTGTGAGGAAAGAGTCAACAAGAAAACTCGGGAATCCTGAAATCGTTCTAGATTTTAGGGAATGAATCCCTTTTATTTTCCTTAGCTCCTCAGAAATAGAATTTCTGGGTCCACTGCCAAATGCTGTAAGTCTGCAACAGATTCTTTGCAAAAACAGAAGTGGGCTTCAGTATCACGAAGTAAACAGGAACTTCAAGATAAATCATTCCTGAAAGTGCCTCATTTTTCTGCAGGAACAGTGCTGATGACTCTGCAGTTTTCTTATTTTCCCCCATACTCTTATCTTGACCTAAATAACTTTTCTTTCCACAGGAGGACTATGGAATACCTATACTACTCAGAAGCCATCTACTACTGCCACTAAGACACAGTGACACTTCAGGTGGGCTGCCGTGTCAGCTACAGCTGCTATGTATTTAACACAAAAAGCTTATTTTATCATAGAATCAGAGAATGGTTTGGGTTGGAAGGGACCTTAAAGATCACCCAGTTCCAACCCCCCTGCCATCAGCAGGGACACCTTCCACTAGACCAGGTTGCTCAAAGCCTCATCCCACCTGGCCTTAAGCACATCCAGGGAGGGGGCATCCACAGCTTCTCTGGGCAGCCTGTTCCAGTGTCTGTTTTAGAAACGTTTAATACAATTCTGAACCATTTTAAACCCTTTCTCCATGGAACCAGCCTTTCCAAATACTATGAATGCAAGCTTACAGACTCCTGAGGAAGAGAAAGATATGGCTGTAAAACATATTATCTGATCAGGTTTAAATTGGTACCACTCTTAAGCACCTGTAAGTCCAGGCTGGTGTGTAAACACGTACTTATCCTTGCTAGGAAGACTGAAGCCTTATTTAATAGCACACAGCTCTCATCTCCACTCCTGAAAGGTCTCAGGCTAACCAGCACTGTAAGCAGCCACTGAGACAGACATTATCATTACCAATCTTAACTTCAATTCAGATTTTGCACAATTAAATGAATTTTTGTGGCTAGATGATTATTACAGCTGCCAGCTGCTTAAGAATGTTAGCTGTCATCTCAGAAGAGAAGGATTAGCCAGAAAGTATGTGAATGATACAAGGCATTGTACGATCAATGAACTGTCTCATTGGTACCAGCATCCATGTGAAGAGGCTCACAGCCTGTTCTGCTCCCTCCAACTGCCTACACTTTAAAAAGAGTGTTTATGCAAATGAAAAACAAAATATGGAAAGAGAAACCATGGCTAAACTACCCATCCACTATGCGAGGACAAAAAAATACTATCATCTCACTTGAAGAAAAAATATTTACAAGTCTCCAGTTCCTCCCGTATAATAAACTGAAGGGCACAATTAAATCAGATTTACAGCTGCTTCACTTTGCAGCAGGAAGTATGAGGAATGCACAAAGGAAGGAGCATCTACACAGACAACAAGCAATCCCCTTTCCAAATGTGTGCAACCAGCTGTCCTCCTCCTCCTCCACGACTTAACTCTGCTGACAGTACTGAGCTCTAGGAATAATTCCTGGTTTTCCAAAAACACGCTGCATGTAAAATTGGCCTATATTTACAAGTCATTTTGAAAAATAAATAACAAAAAATAAATCTAGTAACAAAATATTTTGCAGGACATTAAGTTAGCCTACATTAAGAAAAAAATGTATTTTATGCCAGTTGTAGTGTAAAATATAGAATGAGGTACCTTGTGAGAACAAGAGATGTAAGTTGATCATTTGAGGGTCCACAGAAATAAAAAACCAAACAAACCAATACAACAACCAAAGCAGTATCATCTCCCACTTCATAAAACAAACAGCTATAGAGTGAAATCACCAGTACAGACAAAAGGTAGGAGACAGAAATACAGGCCTCCTTTCTCCAAGTTATCTGTGCAGCACAGTAGGAACTGGGACACTTTACGAGTACTATTCTGATAATGGAAAGCTGTAATAGTGAAATCAGAATTAGAAAGAAAGCCAAGAAGGCTTTAAGAATACTCAAACCAAAGAGAAACAAGATGTACTTTCTAAGTACAGCAGATGCAAAACCTGTGATCTTCACTGAGGCCCACTGCTACACCCAGATCCGAAGACAGCCACAGTGGCCACTGCAGGGCAGTTTAATTACTGTTTGTGCTGGTTTTCAGGAGCTAACATCTGCAGGACATCAGTCCCGTTCTTCCTCGCCCTACTGACAAATGTGATGACTCAGGAGCTGTAGCCAGATAAGGAATTATGTAAGCAGCAGAGATCTTGCTTTCAAACAAATCCAAAATAATAGTAGAGCTGACCAGTGCTCACTCTTTCAGCTAGCACACTGCCACTGGAAGTCACTAAACTTTGTTTCTGCTACCCATAGCAACATCTCCAAACAGCTTTCAGTGCAGCAAGTGGGGAAGAGATCCACATTTTTCACCTATAACCAGAGGAAGAGCTGACAGACTGTATGCCAACTCAAAGGTAACTTGTGAGCAAATGCCCTCATCTGTGTCTCTGCTGGGTGAATAGCAGGGGCTTGGAGTCTGAGAAAGGACCCACAGTTTATCAGGAGAAACATTAGGAAAGCATGACTCTCCTAGGCACAAAATCCCTCACTCCACCAGTAAAGGAAAACATCATCATTTGTTTTTCCCCTTAAGCCAAACTGAATCTATTAGTCAAGCAACATATTCCCAACAAAATGTGTGAATCAACTGAGAAAAAAATCTTTTCAATCATCACCATTACAAACATCCATAAGCTGCATCTAGTTGAGAACAAGCCTTTCAGCAACAGCTTTAACAAATGATGTGTCTGAGAGTTAACACACAACAACAAAGACAGCACAAGTCTATGTACACAAAGCAAAGGAAAGCAAATGAAACATCAGAAAGTCTATTGACTGCAGAGCATATTACAGGGCACTTCCAGAGCAGTTCCACATCTCCCTGTGCTAGATCTTGTACAAACAGATTTGAAGACACTGAATAAAATTAAAACTCTAATCAAGCCAGCACAAATTTGTCCACCAAACTTTTAAGGAACTGTGTATTTCTGACAGACACAATATGTATACACAGCATAATTTTAAAGACTTGACAGATGGAAAATCATACCTTTGCCTTCTCTAGGTTTCTTCTTTATACCTAGATCTGGAGACCCATCAGATATAGCCGACTGCTGGGTCTTCGGTTTACGGCCAGCTGCACATAAAACACAAGGGCAAAAAAAGTATTAAACATATGCAGAATACAAGTATTTTATAGTTTGTCTTTGCTGAAAGAAGCAGTTCATGAATTTCCCCCACCCGTCATTTCCTTGTTACAGGTATGTTTAAACTTATTCTTAGGTTGCTACTACGGCACATCCAGTTTAGTTCATCAATTTGCTTATTATTTCATAGGCAGATTTAACTCGATTTCAGACAAGTTAAGGGCAGGTGAGGCAAACACCAAATGTATAAAGTAAAACTTCAATTTATTTGCATTCTTTTAGTCCAGTGTCTGTTTTACTCTGAAATGTGTTCTTTTTTTCTTTAGCTTTGTTTTTGGTATTCTAGCATGGGCGTTGATCAAAGCATCAGTTTTCCTAAGAAATTTTACTACTGAAATCCTAAACATTCATTTTCACCTTGCACCTGTCAATTAGAAGCTACAGATAAAAGCTTCCACTCAGCATGCGAGTGGGGCTGCGTGGGATTTGCATATGGCAGAGGCATGAAGACAGCTGTGAATGATGCAGGACAGCTCTGGGCAGTGTTGGAAGCCTACCTGTGCCACAGATCCCAGCTGCCTGCCTGCTGGCAGAGCTCCCACGCACCTCCTCCTATCCTCCACCTGCCCCTGCCAGGCTTAGGAGGGGACTCCTCAGCAGAGCTGCCTACCTTCCTGTGCCAGGGAAATGCTCTCCCAGCAAGACCTGCGGCTTCTTCATCCTTTCACGCTTCAGCGACTTTTTTACTCAAGGTAAACAGGCCCAAGCAGGAAGAGGATCATACCCCATGGCAGCAGGCTGCAAGCAGTCCACGCTTCTGCCTTCAGTTAAAGGCAAGCAGCAACAATTAACTCTCCTACCTCAGGCACAACAGCATTCGTTTTTGCTGATGAACAATGGTCTTCATTGAACACCGAGTTTCAAAAGGCATTAATTACGAAGACCAAGGTTATGGCTCTGTAACTATGGCTCAATGACCTTACACACTTAAGAGCAGGGATTTGGATTCTGTTACAGGAAAACAATATTTACAAAATAACCTTCAGAAAATTTCAGAACTTCCTGAGCACAGCCCTGTAACACAATCTACCCAGTAATGACCATCCAAACAGACAGTGGAATATAAAGAAATAGTTTAAATCCAGTGTACAACTACAGCTACAGAAAGGCTTTCATCATAGTTTCCTTGCTTATGTAATTTACAGTGGAGCTACAGTTATCTGTTATGTGTGTGTGTGTTTTTATTACAGCTACACCACACAGATCTTAGATTTATATCACTTTATCACAACACTGCATTTTTTTTCCCCTCTAAATTACAAGTAAATATTCCATCTTAGCATGTCTGGAAGCTCTAATAAAACAATATTCCCATAGTTATGTGAATTGTATTCATGCCTGCAAGAAAACTGCCAGACCAGAGAGAAACCTCACCAGGAGCCAACCTCTCATTTGGTAGCTGAGTGCTTAGAACTTGAACACTCTTCTGAATAGTTTCTCCTCCAAGACACACCAGTCAGACAAATAAGACACTTCCCTCACAAGAAAGATCTTAATATTGATTTTGCGAACTGATTTATTGTTTTGTAAGTTAGTAATTACCCTGCCATTTCACAGTAAGAACCCTAAGTCTACCCACTCTCCAAATATATCCATATTTTGGACACCAATGGTTACCCAAACAGGTCCTCTTTGAATCCTTCTCTACCCTTCCTCCACTTCATAAACTGTGCTTAAAAAACACAGTAACAAAGACATCGTTTTCCTTTACGGCTTGGTGAAGCCCATTCTCCTGCTACTTTTTGTCTTTTTTCTTTTCTAAGAATTCACATTTCAGACTCCAATCAGTCTGATTATACATGCAGAGAAATCAGATCATCTAGCCTATCTCCACCAGCACCAACTGCACTATCTGTGGCAGTGCACATCAGAAATAAACTGTGAGATGGCTCCTACGAAGAGCCATACATACCTTTTTTCTTTTTCATTGGTTCATGGATATCAGGGGAAGTTGGAACAGGAGATGCATCCATCGGTTCAGATTCCTCTGTTGATACCTCCACCACAGTTTCTGTGATGACATCAGGTCTCATGGCCGCGTGGATAAATTCCGGGGTTGACACACAAGGAGGGACAAAAACTTCCACTATCAGAGAAGGAAGGGGAAAAAAAGAAAAAAAAAAAAAGAGTATCTGATGAAGTTTCTATCTGATTATTTTAACGTACCTTACATTAAATTATTTTGAACTAAGCATGTGCAATAGTATAGCAAGACTGTGCTCCAACAACTTGTCACCTAGATCAATCCAATTCCCAAAAACATGCATGCTTGCAAGTATTCCTAGGTAAAAGACAAGTATCACACCAATATTCTTTAGAACTAAACTCAACTTTAAATGCAACAAACTAGAGCTTAATCTTTGATCCTCATTCCAGTCTCCATTTCCAATTTTGTAGCTTTTGGGTTTCAGTTGGACCATTATTTCATCCAACATGTATTAAGTAACTTCAGAAGGAACATCACATTAAAGTAACCAACATGAAGTTTTGTTCTTTTAAACTGATAAGACTTTGCAACACAGTGTATTCAGATATTCTTTCTAAAACAGAAAAACAGATAAAAACACTTCTTCCTTAAAATAACTCTTTATTTAAGCAATTTAATATGGCAAATTCACAAAACCACAGAATGGTTGAGGTTAGCAGTGACCTTTGGAAGGCACCTGGTCCAACCCCTTGCTCAAGCAAAGCCACCTAGAACCAGCTGCCCAGGATCACATCCAGATGGTTTGGGAGTATCTCCCAGGGATGGAGACTCCCCAGGCTCTCTGGGCAACCTCTACCAGTGCTCAGTCACCCTCACAGTGGAAAAGCATTTCATGATGTTCAGATGGAAAAGTTAATTTAAAATGTGAAGCTGCTCAAGGATCGCTACCCGACAATCTCACAGATAAATGATTTAATCTCCAAGTATTGTTACAGGGTGGAGGAACGACTTAAAAACTCAAACAAATCAGCATTCTTGAAATAAGCAAGCAAATGCTTTAAGCAGCACACAGCTCTCCACAGAAACAGGCTTCCCAATTTGTTTGTTTTATTAATCAGCAGAAGGAGAAACATCTCAGGAATGAGAGTGTGACGGACATACCAGGACTCCTGGCATCTCTCAGGCAGGTAGGAGACTCCATATGAAGCAAGGCCTCTGCAGCTTCAATTGTCTTATCCGTGCAGTGCACATTACTTCCATGAACTGATGCTTCCACTGGAGAAAGATAAAAAAAAAAATTAATGAGAACAGAGTACTTATAAAATTCCACATGTACAGCTCAACGGCACTACTCAATCTTAAACATGAAAATCCCAAAACTGTCAGGTGCCTTCACACCTTTTATACCTTCCCATCAACCAAAATGTTTAGGGAAGACACGAGAGAAGCAGAATCAACACTGTCAGTTCTTAGGTTGGATCTTTAGTTGATAACCAAGCTCCTCATTTCTACGAGGTGTTCAAGAGCTTACAGAAGCAGACAGAATTCTGGCATTTGTCTTCTGCCCTCAAGTTAACCAGAACAAACCAGACTGTAATGTGGATAGTCACAAAGTAACACAGCAGAGCAGGGAAGTAGTACCATCTCCAACTACTATCCCATTACTATCTAAAGGTCACCTCTTCAGATTTTCAGTCAATTTAGATAAACATATATATATATACACACACACACACACACACACACACACACACACAAGATCTGTTTGTGAAACACATACCCAGTTTCATTTTCTGACATTAAAAATATCTGTGAGTTGGGTTTAGCAGGCTTAGTTGTTAAAAAACAAAACAACACACACACACACACACACACACACAAGATCTGTTTGTGAAACACATACCCAGTTTCATTTTCTGACATTAAAAATATCTGTGAGTTGGGTTTAGCAGGCTTAGTTGTTAAAAAACAAAACAAAGCATAACAAACAGTATGCAGGGGTGTGGG